GGGTCCATTTTCAAAGAGCTAGCAATGAAGGATGAATTTGGAGGGAAGATAATCAGCACAAAGACTTTCTGATGCTGCTGGTGTCTGGGTACACCCCCTGCGTTCCTTGCTGGTTCCCTTAACCCTGCCCACATCTCTATAAAGAGCCCCTGCAGGGGGCCGAATAGTGGCGCAATGGTAAAGCACAAGACTCTGTGAGGTTGACCCATGTGGGATGGCTCTGGGTTCTAGTTTGAACACCCCTTTAAGTATTCTGGGCAGGCACGTGCCCATGATCCAGGCTGGCGGAGGCTGGAGGTGGATCATGGTGTGGAGACCCTGTGGAGGTGCTTTCTGTCTTTCTCTGTCTTTCTCGCTCATGGAAAAAATTAACTTTTAAAAAAAATCATTAAAAAGAAGAAGGAGAAGAATCATTGCAGGTAACTCTCTGTTAAATCTTTTGCAAATGGAGAAGAAGGGACTGTGGTGCGGCCTTGTCCCCTTGGGGGGTGATTTCTCGCTTTCCCTCTCTCTCTCTCTCTCAGGCAAGTGCACGTGCCCTATGGCAAAAACCTAAAAAACAAAAACAAAGCCTTAGTGAAATAAAGGCACATTGGAACAGGATAGGTATAATATGGTATCTGTAAAAAGATTAAAGCACACGAACCAATTTTAAATGTTATCACTTATGGCAATATACAAGTAGTTAAAAGTACCAACATTCTTAGAAATGAGGACAGTGGTGGCCACAGAGAGAGAAAGGGCAAGACCAAATTCAAAAAGATCACGAAAAATGTGTATTATGAAAAATTATACATAGATTTCAAATTTGTCTTGTACAGAAATAAAATTGTACTTTAATTCCATTATCCCACAGGCTTTTCAAAGTTCCTTTATATATGAATTGACTGGAGAGAGCTGATTTCTTTCTTTGTTAAGATTTATTTAATTTTATTTATTCATTCATTTATTTTAATTTAACCAGAGACACAGTGGGAAAGTGGAAAAGTGAGCCACCAGGCTCAGGACTTGTACTGTGGACGGCCATATGGGAGTGTCCAGTGCCTTAACCACCATGCCACCTACTGGTCCCTATTTTCTTTCTTTTTAAGATTTCAAAGCAACTTTGGTTAAATCTGAGAGCTGGTAACATATTGGTATCTTTTCTATATGTTTGAAATATTGAAAAATTTAACAATTTAACAATGTTGAGGCCAGCGGGTGGTGTAGTGGTTATGGCAGCTGGA